TCAAGCAACTTAAAGAAGTCCAGACGCTTTTCTTTGCAAGCTCCTTTGACTACGATGACCTGGATGACTGAGAACCTTCACAGACAGTGTTGTATGAGGACAACCAGCAAACGATTGCTTTAGCTAAAAACCCTGTGAATCAACAGAGGTGCAAAAATGTGGACATTAAATATCATTTTGTAAGCTCCACTGTAAATAAAGGACGCTCAGCCACTGACCATGTGAGCGCACAGGGATGGTAGCCTTGAAAGTGAAGATGTACTGTGTGTTAATAAAGTCGTCATTTTCCTTCGAGTTCATTGCTGTTGATGCTGCGCTCCTCAGCAGTTTTCTACCCTTTCTGAAATGTTCCACCTTTTCTGGTGATAAAGTCTCATTGACTATGAATGGAGAGACAGCCCTCTCTAACCCCTCCCTCACTCACTCACTCATCTCTCCCTTGACAAAGTGATGAGTTCAAGTGCAGCATCTTTTCTGTCTCTCTCAGTATGAACGTCTTTTTCTTATATTAAGATGTCTCAGGATTAAATGTGGAGACACAAAGACGACTTTCAGTGGTCGATCAGCAGGCTGTATGTGGCCCACCATGCAAGATGACTTTGACATCTCTGATCTAGATGGAGACGATTACTAGAAGCTCCACGTTTCTAGTTATCAGCTGTTTGTAGAGCTCTGATTATTGCTGTTTACAGCAACATTAATCTGTTTGTGTCATCCATAAATGTATATTTCCCTATTCTGATATTAAATACCACACTTTTCATCTCATTATTCAGACTGATTAAGATACAATAACATTATTTAATCTCACACTGGAAAAGTCACCTGTTACAGCAGCAAAAGAGTCGGAAGGAAAAAGTGAATCAAAAACATGTTAAAGAGTAAAAATGTCAAATATAGAAAATCTTAAATCCAAAGTAATTTATATCATATACAATTTTACTGTTTACACTAAAATACACAAAGAATTGGTCACATGATTTTATTTTAATATCTGCATAAAATTAGGTGGCTATGATAAAAGATTACAATAGAATAAAATAGAGTTTTTTCTGCTCAATCCAAAAAACACAAAGGTAAACCTGTTGGCAGACGTTCAGGTTCAGTCTGATTAATATTTAACTTTCACACAACATAAAAATCTCCTGTTCTGAGGTCATTCACATTTATCTTGTGCAGACTGAGCCACTGCAGCAGCCTCCTCTTTGTTCTACTGTGCACGAAGAGTCGCTCTCACCTCCAGCTTTCACTTATCCCTTTAAACTCCTGTCTGAGTCTGCCTGCATCCTGAACAGCAGCAGTGTTTCCCCATATGAGCCAGTTTGCCCCCTCAGGTCCTCATGTGGGTCCTTTTAGCTACAGGCGACCGTGTTTTTGCCTGAACGACCTGCCAGAGGAACTGAAAGAATCAGCGACCTACTAAAAATCGCTCAGCTGTGTCCACCAGCAGAAATTCTGACAGTCACATCTCTCACAACTCCAGTTTAGAAAACTGGATCAGCAGTTAGAGTGGTGAAGTGGATCCTGCTGCACTTTAACAGCACACACACACACACACACACACACACACACACACACACACACACACGATCTTCAGTCATGTATCCTGTGCTTCACAGTAACTGTAATTTTATTGGTTGTATTTGTGTATATAACCCCCCCACCCCCCACCTCTGTCCTGTATTTATTGTTCTTATTTGTTTCATCTGTGCAGCAAAAATGTTAAAGGCTTTTTTTTACCTTTTAATTTTTAATGGTTTACAGTTTTTTACAGCCGCTAGGACACATGTCTCAATACTTAGGTCACTTTTGCAAAACTCTTCACACAATCCTCCTAACTGACCGTCAGCTTGGCAAAGCAGTTCATTTCACATTCAAAATGCACGACAACTACCAAAACACTTCATTCAGGTCTCAAATAAACTCATTCTTCCAGAACACTAGCAAAGGTTGACAGCCGACAAACACACTTTGTCACCCACAAAACAATGACCTAAAAAACACTAACAACATGTAGCATTACAGTGTTTCCTTGTGTAAAACAAGGACACATCTCTGTTTATAATTTCAATATATGTTACTGGAATGAATCAGACATCATGCAGAATTCGTTAATATTTGTTTATGTATTTTTATTTTTTTGCACTAAGTAATCCCAAAATACAAGAATCTGTATACACACCATCCACTGATACACATACAATAGTAATGCTAATCTACTCGGTCTCCTCCATTTGGCCACAGGTTCTCATCCACATCACATCTTATGTCATCTAGGGCAACACACCTAGGAAAGAATCTTCTGGCTGCCAGAATTGAAGGAGTTGAAAGATTGAAGCAGTAACACCTGTGCAGATGTTCATCTACAATGAGAATCAGCTGTGGCTGGTTAAACTGCATGTTTAGATTTAAAATATGTTTCAATAAAATATTGCTGTTGCATTTTGCTGTCTTTTTAAGTTTTGCATTGTGTTATTGTTTTGGCCATAAGTTTAACAGTTTTGAAAACAGTATGTAAGCACATGCAAAATGTCCTGTACGTACAAAGATTTTTGGCAGTTGTTGTGTCTGAGTGAGAAGATAATTCATGAAATTTGAGAGATGTAGTCATTGAATGCATTTTGTGCCAAAACAATGATAACTGGTCCTCAGTTTAGCCCACATAGACTTCTGTTGTGCTCACTGTGTGAGGAGTTTTGCAAACGTGACCTAAGTATTGAGAAATGTGTCCTAGCGTCTGTAAAAAACTGTAATAAAGGTTCCATGAATTTTCCCCCATCTGGTGGTACAAAGTGGTATTACAGCCCTATTTATGATGACCGGTACAGTACGTATACGTGAGCGTGACGTCACATTCTGTTAATGTTTGTTCATTTGGGAAAGTTTAGGTCACTGCTTTTGTAAGATCAAGTGGTTTGTAGCTTAAACCCATTCGCTGCAACGTTCGAGACAATTTACTACACAGCAAAAGCAAGACACAAGTAGGGAAAGTTCTTTGTGTTACTCATGCACGAGGGAGGCCTGCCTGGAAGTGTCGTTCCACCCACTTGACCTCCGTCAGACTCTCGTCCGCTCCCCCGTAACACGGCTCTTTTATTGAGGTTACATGAATATACATAGGTTCATTAACATATCACGTCTACATACAAAAAGAGTACCTTGCCTGTGCGTTGTGTAAGTATGTGTGTGTGTGTGTGTGTGTGTGTGTGTGTGTGTGTGTGTGTGTGTGTGTGTGTGTCTGTGTGTGGTGTGTGCAGTCTTCCACAGACTACTAGGATCAAACCTCTACCAACATGACATTGATTATAAAACTCTGAGCATATATGAGAAGATATTTCTAAGCATAAATGACAATCCACTATATAAACCTGACATCAAGCTTCTTTCATCTGTGACAGCCAAAATAAAGCCCATCTTATCAAAGCAGCTTTTTGAGACTGTAATCCTGCCTCTGTTACATCTAGGCTGGATTACTGTAACGCACTTTACTGTGGGGTTAGTGATGCATCCTTTAGATGTCTGCAGGTGGTGCAAACTGCTGCAGCGCGTCTTTTAACTGGAACAAAATAATCACATTACACCACTGGCTATGATGTTCACATCCTGGACAGGGAGGAACGCTGGTTTGAGGGCGGAGTCAAGGAGGCCATTTACATGAAAAGGGAAAGACCATCTCTGAATGGAGGAGGGGCCTAAGGGTACATCTGTCACCATCTTACATGCTGTGATTGCAGCCATTCCCCAGCTCTCTGTGAATGGGACTCATGCTTATTGATCAGTGGTCATGAGAATTTGCATAATTAAGATTAAGGAGCTGACCCCCCAGCCCATTGTTCCTCAGTGGGCTGGTTTCAGTCAGTAGATGCAGACGTGAGCGTGCATGTAAGACAGGCCTCTTCTCTTTCTGAGTTTAAAACTCTTCTTAAGACACATTTATTTGCTCTTGTAAGGGGCTGACTCAATATGACTTTAACATGTTTTATTATTTTATTTAATCATTTCATTTGTTGTTGTTGTTTGTTTATGTGCAGCACTTTGTGATCTCTGGTTTTGTGTTAAAGTGCTTTATAAGTAAAGCTGGTAAAGTTGCAAAAAAAGATAAATATATAATTTTACACAAATACGATTAAGCTTATTCTTTTCTTCAGATTTAAACATAACTGCGTTATCAGCATCAGGTGATGAGATCCCAGGATCAGAAGTACTGATGGTGTATTTATGTCACACATATTTTTCCATCACAGCTGCAGGGAGACAGAAAGCATTTTGAGGTTTATTAAAATGATCAGATGATGATTTGAAGCATGAATGACTCACTTTCAGGTCAACAGTTCAGTTCCTTTAAATTTTATTGAATTTATTTTCCTGTTTATCGTGATATGAAATCATATTTATCAACAGAATCCAGCAGTGATGTCATCGAGGCTTGACATCCTGCTGGAAGTGACATCAGCAGTGAGGCTGTGACATCATCATGTCAGACGTGTCAGGACACGAAGGAGCAGTTATGGACCTCTGACACAAACAAACCCTCTCTGTGAGTTACATCCTGAGTCGTTGACAAAATCTCCTCCTGTAAAGAATCAAAACAAAGAAATAAAATCAGAGGTCTGTGCAGTAAATGTTTTCTTCTTCTCTAATGTAAAAAGAACAAACACAGTTCTTATAAAGACCTAAGATCACATGACTTCAGTCAATATAAAAACCAAACACATTTCATCAACAGGCCCACTTTCAGTTTGTACCTCTAAAGTTTATCTCCATACAATCTTCTCCTCCTCCAGAGTTGTCAGGTTGTCCACTGCCCCAGTTTGTGAAGTCAAACTGGGAACCATCACTCCACTTCCACACAGTTTCCTGGAAGAATAAAGTTCAGTTTGTTCTGATGTACTTTGATGCATCTATGCTGAGAGTGCAGACATGAGACCTCTTACACCACTCGAACACAATGAAGGTTCATTTTGTTTGTGCAGGTAAAAAATGAAAAGAAAAGTCAAGTCAACAGCAACATCTGTCTCCAGGAACAAAGTCCTGATTAATCAGTCTGTCACATGTTGACCTTTGAATCAAACTGATGAATATGAAGAGAAACATATGAAATATCAGAAACAGCTGCAGCTCATCCTCTTTATCTGTGAAACACTTACATTCTCTCTGTCGTTGCCTCCAACCCAAGCTGTTGGATACGACCCTGCTGCTGTGTAAATGAGCTCTCTGATGAAGGTGTACTCAGCTGTGCTGTGGAATGAGGCCAGATTTCCACCGAGTGTCTGACAGGAACTCTGAGGAGGAAGATGAGGTGCACAGAAGATGAAAAGTGTGAGAATGCATTTAAAATCAAAGATAAAGTGAGTGTGATGAAGGCAGCAAAGAGAGAGCTGATGAATAGAAGAGACACGAGGAGGGAATGTTTGCTCTGAATTCTGAACATCACTGCATGAACATTACTGCACTGCATGTATCAGCATGAAACTGTTAGTGCAGGGCTGTGACGCCGCAGCAATAATCAGCTAAGAACAGAAGTCCTGTGTATTTACTCATGCACTTCAAACTGTGTGTGAATATGAATATAAAGCAAGTCTTCTTTCACTGAATGATTCTCACAGCAGGAAGCTTTTTATATGTCCCACATATAACATGTACATATACAGCTGCTGTTATTTCTGATGTACCTCAGCATCAGTCCAGTTCTTCTGACTGCTATCAAAGAGGAAACAGCGACCTCCAAACCAAGTCCAACCAGCAGGGCAGGAAGGAGCTGCAAAATAATTGTAAAGGTAGAAGGTCGATAATCAGATTACAAATTCCTCAAAAGACAAAGAAAATACCCAGCCGTGTTCCACTACTGAGTCTATTTGAATTTAAGCTGATGAGGTTCATTTGACATTATTCCTTCTGCGATACCTGGTTACAGACTCGGCACTCTATGCCTTCATAGCTACCTTGGATGACTTCCACTACATCACTTTGAATGCTATACTTCAGACTTTCACACAGTATGTCGTCTGTTTTACCAGCTGAGAGAGAACTTGTTATGAGGCAACAGGCAGATATGTTGCGAGCCCCACAGGACACTGAGTGTATCAGTGATTACATAACCGTCTGCACCGACTCCATTATCTCAGCTCGGACTATACATTGTTATTCGGATAACAAGCCGTGGGTGAAAGAACATCACAGCTCTCAACGATAAAAAGAGGGCCACAGAGAGGAGGTGGAAAGGGTTTCGTTTTTATTGAAGGGCACGATCAGAGAGGCTATGGACAGTTGCAGGAGAAAGCTGGAGTGGCATGAAGATATGTCTTTGTAGGTTCTCAGTCACCCAGCTCACGGTAGTCTAAGGAGCTTGAAAAGTCCTGAAAAGCGTCACTGGACTCACGCCATTCAAAAGCAGAGCTGAGGGCCAACAGGTTGAATTTGTTCTTCTACAGATTTGACACTGCAGCTAATGCTCACCCCCCGACTGACTTAACTGTAGTCAGCCTACAGTCCAAAGCCACACCACTCTCTCTCCCTCTTTCTCCTCATTGCACCTGAGCATACTGTGAAAGTCCTGACACTCCTGCTCCACCTGTAACTTTTACCTAGGACCAGGTTCAGAGACAAATGAAAGACTCCACTAAAAAAGCCTGAAAGACCAGACAGGGCGAGTCCCGGTGTCCTCGAGGCCTGTGCACCAGTGCTGTGGAAGACGTCATCCCTCTTTCCTGTACAAAACACGCTCAGTCGTGTCCTCGAGGCCTGTGCACCAGTGCTGTGGAAGACGTCATCCCTCTTTCCTGTACCAAACACGCTCAGTCGTGTCTACGCCCACCTGGACCAACCGGTGAGCACTGGGAGGGTCGTGTTTTTTGACTATCCAGTGCATTCAACACCATCAGGCCGACCCTCCTGGGTGATAAACTGATAGTGATGCAGGTAGATGCCTCTGCGGTGTCCTGGATTGTTGATTACCTGACAGGAAGACCACAATATCTGCGTCTTCAACACTTTGTGTCTGACAATGTGATCAGGAACACAGAGGCAACACAAGGGACCATGCTCTCCCCTCTTCACTTTCTACGCCACAGACTTCAGCCACTGCACAGAGACCTCCACCTTCAGAAGGTTGCTGATGACTCTGCAGCGGTTGGATGCATCAGTGAGAGTGATGAGATGGAGTACCAGGCTGTGGTCGACTCCTCTGTCACATGGTGCGAGCAGAATCATCTGCAGCTCAGTGTGACAAAAACCCTGATTGTGGACTTTAGGAGGACCAGGAAAGCTGCGACCTGTGTTTCAAACCAGGGGGTCAACGTGGACACGGTGAAGGACTATAAATACCTCAGAGTACTATTGAGAATGGAGAGATCAATGTTCTTTTAAACTGTGTTAAAAGTCATTGTGGTTTTGATTTGACGTATGTATATATTCTGTCTGTGACGTATGAAGGGGCGTCATTAATTCAAACCCTGATGCTATAAAAATCTGTGTATGCTTTGATTAAGTCGAAGATCAATCCCTGTCTGTGTACAGACTGGTCTTCCCACGCGTGTATTCATTAAAATCAATTGTTTGACCAAATCTTCTGGACCTGGTGGTTTGTACTCTCCTTCCTCAATATTTGAACCTTAACAGTACACATTAAATAAACTAGACTGGGTACTCTACAGTAAGGCCAGAGATATCTGTATTTTCTGCGTCTTTCAGCGTGTTTTGGACAATGCTCAGGATTTTCTATCAGTCTGTTGTGGCCAGTCCTGTCCTCTATGCTCTTGCATGCTGGGACAACAGGTTGAGGTTCACAGATGCCAACAGATTAAATAAACTGATCTGCAAGGCCAGTAATGTTGTGGGGATGGAGGATTAGAAACCGGTAAGAACACAGCTGAACTAACTAATGAGAAACTGGGAAGTAGAAATGAACAAAGTGCACACAGACAAAAGGCTAACACAATAAAACAGGAAACCTACATGAAAACTAAACACTGACAGAAGTCCAAACTGAAAACGCTGGGTCAGCGGCCCAGGAACCCTGACAGTGGCGCTGTAACATAGTAACTGGATGGCTGTGTTTTTTAATCAGCTTATAACAACACATTATAAATAAACGGCCCTGCCTTTCACTGGTGCTGTAAATAAACTGTGTTTAGAAACGTCAACCTGCTCTGCGCTTCGGTCCTCGCAATCGAACGTGACAGAACAGGTGTATGCAGGTGAACTCAAGACTCGGTCGGGCTGGTTGGTGGTGGCACGGAGAAAATATCAGCTCACATTTATGTTACACAAACACAGAAGTTGGAGACGAGGAGAGAGGTTTTTGTCTTTTTTTCTTGTAATTAAAATCATTTTATTGTCTGGAGATAATTATGATCCGTATAGTCTATGAATTTGCATGAGCTGCAGATAAAGACTTTTTTAATCTTATTCAACTTTCAGACCCACTGGCAAACAAACAAATCTAACCAGTTAAAGTAAAAACCAGTAAACCTGAAACTCCCCATTAAACTGACAGCATCGTCGCCACTGCTGCTGTTATCAGTGTTTTGTTCAAACCCTGATGCCGCGTGAGCTTAATGTCGTCATACGTTTTGTCCCCTTCCGCCGCGCTCGTTCCAGCTCTTCGCTCGACGCGTCGGCCCCGCGCCTTCTCCCTCGCCGCCCGCCCGCTTTTGACCCGAGGCGTGCACTTATGGGCTGCGGCTGTTATCACCTGTTTTTCTCGCTTCGGAATCGGTATGCCTGGGCGTGAGTTCGTTAACTGTCTTGTCGATTTAGCGTCGCCTGTTTTTTAATTTCAAACCGCTGCTCTCCCTAATTGAGGTTTATGAGGTCTGCGGCCTAGTGATATTTCAGTTGGCAAAATGGAGAAATCAGGTTGCATTTCTATGTGATGACCAGAGAACTGAGTGTATACCAACGATTGACAATGAAGAGCCAAAACGTGTCTAGGACCATTTTTTTCTAGCTAGTATTGCGTTTACTTCACTTCGAGTGAGGTTATAGTTGTGGTCGAGTATAAGCTCGTTCGGCAGATGAAGCAGAGAACTTTTTTGAATCTATTTCTTACACGTCTTTTGTGGTTTTCATTTTTCTGGTTCTTTCATCTAATCCTTTTTTCTTCATGGCTCTCGCACATTAGGTACCCGCCCTTATGGTTTTGTTCCTGCTTGATATTTCTGTTTCGACTTATGCAAAAGTATCTTTCTGTTCGTACCAGGTTCATATATTGACATTTGTATAACACTTTCTGGAATCCTGATCCATTTTCCAAAGTGGCAGACTGATTTTCATTTCAGGGATGTTTTTCTCTTTTGAGCTGGCTTTTATGGATATTTTATCATTTATTTGGGATCAAGTCGTTGGTTTATGTGTGATATCGAAATCGACGAGGCCTGTTGCATCAGGATCATCATAATAATATTTGTATTTATTAAATCACGAGGTGTTCACTCAGGATCTAAAACAAACTGACGAAATCTTCGTGACTGATGATTTTTCTGATGATTCTTTTCAGCACAGAAAGGTTCATCTTTTAAAAATGATGAATAATTTTCATTTTCATTCACTTCAAAAACAAGTCTGAATGTACCGACCCTAAAAGATTATCTTTAGAAGTTTATTATTTGAGTTACTTACTCTGACAAGTGTAAAACACCTCCAGGTACTTATAAGTGCCACCACACGGGTCGTCTGGGCTCTTTGCTTCAACAGTACAGCTGTTTGTCCCATTACACCTGTGAACGCAGGTCAAAGGTGAATCAGCAAAGATTCACTGCGTCATCTGAGAGAAGATGGAGAGCTGAAGAAACAGAGTCAGCATCTGTACCTGGTAGTTACATAGTTCATGCTTCCTGACCAGGAGCAGTCAACATTTTTGACGTGATTAGGGTCTCCATCAAGGCACGTGGTCGTGTCACGGCGACCATAATTCGCCCAGGAGACGACTATAACCTGTCCTTCATCTGAGGAAGAGTTCATAGAGTCAAACTGTAACCATGGTGATATTTTTCTGCATTATGTGAACGCAAACGTACAAAGACATAGAAGCTGTGTTCTCACCACACTGAAGGTTTGCCTGAGATCCTTCACATATTACACTTTGGCCTGAAACAGACACAGATCCCATAGAAACTGTAATCATTCATGTACAGATTGGGTTCATCAGTCATTTCTAATCACAGGTTTAACAGAGTCGTTACGTGGGAAGCAGTCGTAGGTGGTCTCCAGGTATTTGCAGACTCCAGGATCATAAGTAATGTTTGACTTTATGTCACACTCGGTTTTTCCATCACAGCTGCAGGGAGACAGAAACAGCTGGTTTTCAGCTCAAAGATATGAAACAAGTTACTTTCAGGTAATCATTTACTTCCTGTTAGTTTGAGTAAAGCTGTTCAACAGGTTTTAGTTTGTTTCTTCTTTTGAATCAAAGGCTCACTTCTACCATCCCACAGTGCTCACCTGTTCCTCACGTTGTTCACAGTGTCACCGTGAGAGCAGGTTACTCCACCTCTACATCTGTACTCAGCTGACCTCACAATGATCATTCCACCCACTGTTATACAGACACAGTATGAGAGAAAAGGAACAACTCAACACAACATGCAATAATCCAGGTTTCAGGCTTCAGTTTCAGACTCAGATGCTGCAGATCCATAAATAATGAGGATTGTACCTCTGTGCACCACCACAGTGGATATTACATTAACTCTGATCAAGGAGGAAACTTTAAGTCAGTGTTTTTGTTTCTAATCTACATCAAATGTTTCTGAACTTTTATACACAGTCCAACATCCTCAGAGCTTTTTGAAAGCATAAATGCACTGTTGGTTTGTTGATCAGGAAAATACAATTTAAACTGAAAATAAGCAGCTGTGCATAAAAAGGCTGTAAACTATAAACAGTTCATCCAATACTTGTTAAGTTTGTTGAATTTAGCCTGAGAGTCTGAATTTGATCTGCAGTGAATTCTTGGACACTATTTTCCATCTTACCACAGCTCAGGCGAGGAACACTGAGGCCGTTAGAGGTGACCACTCTCCCTGTGGATATGGGGGTCACAGGAGGAGGAACGGAAACTTGAGCTCTGATAAAGCCTGAAATAAAAAATAAATTGTACATTTCTGATAAATTAATGGGGAATGTGTTGATCATTTTCTTGCTGAAGGTGAAGCTACAGCTGGTCCCTCATCTTACTTTAGTTTTCCCTGATGGATGTGAAACACGGTTAGTGTCAGCGAAGCTTACAGTGACCTCTGTCTGCTGAAGCTGCTGGCTGATTTAGCTCCAGGGTGGACAACAAAGATCACAGTTTGTAAAGAGTGCAGAGACATAATATCTATTCTTATGTGAGGACTGAGAGGAGAGAGTTTATCTATATTCAACATTGCATCAATACATTTTCAAAAAATGCCTCTCTGAGCAAAATGGGTTCAGAAACATAAACAGCTGTGGGATCCTGTTTGTCCGTGATTTGAAGAGCCCAGCGCTGCTCCCGACGCAGGGAAAACCAGTTCTGCAGGAAGACCGACCTCAGCACCTGTGCAGGTGAAGCCAAAGGGAAGATTTGCTTCACCATATTTTCTCGTCTTTGGCTCAGAATGAAGTTGGTTTGGAAACTTATTCAGCGACGCTTCATCTCCTGCTTTGCGTTTCTGTGGCCGCCCTGTGCTAGCAGTGTCGCGGGAGTCCGTATTTTGATCTGGGTCCCTCCCCCCTTTATATCCGCGCGGTTGCCCCTCTCGCCATGGCTCATGCAGGTCTCGCCCACCCATAGGGGGCGGGGGCAATCTTTGATGAGAGCGTTCATTTAAAAGGCAAGATTGATTTTCATAAGAGAATTTGGCACTCCGCAAATGCCTGCTCTACTCCTGGATTTCCTCCCCATGTCAACAAGGAGCCCCGACTACCCAGGCATTCAAGACGCCGCCATCGCCCCTTCAAGCCACCCTCCGATGCCCACGCTCCCAACCCAAGCCCCTGCCAAGCCACCAGACAGGTTTCATTTCATTTTCACTGGGAACAGAAACAAGATTTTAAAAAGGTGTGTGTGAAGGATAGAGTTTAGATTTTAGATCACACAAATACAATATTTAGTAGTTACAGACAGAAGAAGAAGAGGTGAGCTCTAATAATGAGAAAGTTCACAGAAAGGCTCTTTGTGACCAAAATATAAGAAGCAGTAAAACAGCATTTACCTGAAGTGATGAGTGAACAGGTTGCTGCCAGCACTGAAAGAGACAGAAAGAAAGCTCAGTGTCAGACTGTGTGTTTGATATCAAGTTGAATTCACCTCAAAACATGAAACAGAAATGAAAAGCAAACAGGAGAAAGCTGCTGCTTTCATTCACACCTGGATTCTTGGAAAACTCTTTCTAAACAGCAGATTTCAATGACACATTTATTCTCTTCATCTTTCCAACTTTTGTCAATAAACTTATTTGTGTTGACAGTTTGACTTCAACTCTTCAAAGTAAATGATCAGCCATGAATTGCTCTCAGGACTCTGTGAAGCCTAACTGTCCTGCTGAGGTGATGCAAACATGTATTTAGGATGTTAGATGAACTGATCCAATAAAGCAGAAAGAAAAGCATGTCACAGTACAGCACAGTGGAAAGCTAGAAAAGGATTAGACTGAACATGTGCAGCTGATTTCATGTCTAAATAAAGGATTATCAGTGTGTTGTACTCACACAGTGTGCTGCTGAGTCCGGAGCAGAGCATCATGTTAGGAGATCTGGATTACAGTGAAGAGCTGATGGAGGATCAAACACAGAGCTGCTGGATTCACTCTGTTTCAGTAACACCTGTGATGTACATGCAAAGCACAGCCAATGGAAAAGCAGAGTATCCTCCTTCTCACGTGCAGGATGTTGGATGTTTGGAATGGAAAAAGTATGAGAAAAAGAAAAAACCAGGATGTGAATAAACAACATGTAAAACAGGGTGCAGCAGGAACACAGCAGGAATATATTTGTATGGAAAATTTTCATATTTACATGGAACATCTCCACATGTCTCTCTGGTCAGAGAACACAAACGAGACAGTGTTTGTGATGCTGAGTCATTTGCTTGATGCATAAAGTTAAAAGATTAAAACTAAGAAAACAAGTTTAAAAAGAGACTTTTCCATTTGATTACATTTTGTATGATGGATTATGAAAAAGTAGAATTGGGCTGAAAGATCTATCGCTTTATCACCTATTCAGGTTGTAAATCGTGTTTTTAAAAAGTAACTAAGTAACTGAGCAATTAATTACTTTTGAAAATAAGTAATCAGTAAAGCAACGGGATTACTTTTGGGGGCAAGTAATCAGTTACTGATTACTTTTTTCAAGTAACTTGACCAACACTGCTCCTAACACAACACTGCTCCTAACAGTAAAGTAAGGGATTACTATTGTAAAGACGGTAATCTAATTACCGTCTTTACAATAGTAATCCCTTACTTTACTCGTTACTTGAAAAAAGTAATCGGATTACAAGCCTGGTAGTGTTTTCGAGCCGCTAGCGTGTCTGAGCTACGTACTCATTCTGCTGTCGTGTGTGTGTGTTCACCCAGGGACTGACGGAGGATTCACGGACACAAAGGAAGCACTCACTACCACGCACGGGCTTACACGGAAGGAAGGACGCACTATCACCATTGTTGCACATTTGAACTGTTGTCACTTTGCTGCACTGTGAATAAACGCACTGTCTTTATTTCTGAGCTCCGCGCCTGAGTCCACTCTTTAACAGATGTTTGCATATGTTTGCACTCAGGAAGGTCACCTTTCGACCCATGGACCGAAACACTTTCTCCTTTGTGAGTTAGAACAAAGATTTTCAATGCAAATCAGAATATTTTCCATACAAATGTGTTCCCAGCTGTACTCCTGCCGCACCCTGTCTATTACCGTCAACTGGCAATGGGTTTGCATGTAGATCACAGGATTTATTCAAACATTGCACGACAAAAAAAAGGAGTCTTGGAAAAAGCTGCACAGGAAATGCACTCATTTAGAAGATCATCATTTAACCAGGAAAAATAATCCCTCCAAGTGACTTTGTGGGTCCTGAATAATCAGGCCCCATCTTATCCTGATGACCTTACAGTGCCGTATGACAAATAGAGCACTTCGCTCTCAGACTGCTGGTTCACATGTGATTGCTCCATACAATGGGAAGCAGAGCCTTCAGCTTTCAATTCAGTTGAGTTTGAATACATTTTATTTATACAGCGCCAAATCACACCAGCAGTCGTCTCAAGGCAATTTATATTGTAAAGTAGATCCTATGGTAAAAAGAGAAAATCCCAAGGATCATATGACCCCCTATGAGCAACTATTGGCGACAGTGGGAAGGAAATTTAACAGGTAGAAACCTCTGGACGAGTGGGTAATGCGAAAAAAACTCGCCGTTCTGTCTTATACAGGTAGAGAAAACTTTCTGGACAGGAGCCAGGTCTGCGAGGGATGGTGAGTCTGTGGGGCATGCTTGTCCTGCGACCCGAGGGATGGTGAAGTCGAGAGAAGGCAGAAGAACAGGATATAAGGGACATGTGCTGTGGAAGGAGTAGACATAGAGATTTAAATAACACTACTAATTAAAGATTGATTGAGGTGGTGCACCATACTTTCATAGTGAGTTTGAAGAACATAACGACTTAGTGAGCGTACTTATTCCCTCCTCCGTTATAGATAAGTCCAATTCCTAGTTGCAAGGTTATTCTAAGGGAGGATTCTTAGATCGTCACGTGATCCATAGTCAAGTTGGGTGTGTTTTTGGGTGAAGGTGGGGATGTGAGAGCACATCATGGCCGGGGTCGTGTCTGGAATGTCTCTAGTTTCTGGTGATAAATAGTTCTCGTGCAATTTGCATGGATCCGTGCTTGCTCCTGCTGTCTCTACTCAGCGATAAATTCATAGCACATCACTATCTCTAAAGCTCGAACGCACACGCAGCCAAGTTTACGCTAAACCACTCTTTCAATTATAGTGCTCGTTCAAACCTCTATGATCTTGGTTCTACACCAACGGACCATAGTCATCCTCATTGTCTACTCGTGATTTTTAGCATCCGCTTTTTAAAATAACACTACAGCTTGTAGATGCACCAAAGGACTTAGTGTTCATGATGGTAGTTCGTTCGGCCTCATTCCTTCACTGTGATTCAATCCAGTATGTTTTAACCTGATAGCCTGTCTCTGTTCATATTCCTTGTTCCTTGCTCTATCTTCACGGCACAGAGAGCACGCGGGCACCGGCAGGTGTGTTTGGTAACGGGGGATCAGGCTGAGCAGCACAGGATACGGTTGCAACACACATTGCCTAATTTCATTTCATTTCTTAATTCTGTGTTGTCCCTCAATACTGTTCTCTCCTCTGTGTGGTCTCAGACAGTCCTCGTATTCGGTTTGCTTCACTCCTGCCCTGTTATGTGATTGTCATGCTTAACATGTGAGTTTCCAACAATAGAAGATGAGTCTTCAGTTCAAGGCTGACATCCTGGATTCTGGGTTTTAATGGTGAAAGGAAATGGCATCTTACTAATTTAGATGATCATCATTTAGCCTGGAAAAATAATCACTCCAAGTGACTCTATTAAAAAAGGCTCTCAGTAAAGCTAGAACATAAACGGTAGTAACCAGACCGAAAAGCAGCGCACATTTCGGTGCTTTTTTCCCCCCCTGAGATGTACACTTTAGATTCTAGCCAATCATTTTACGTTTCCGAGGATAGTAGGCGGGGCCAGGTACGTACGTTCTTTTAGAGCAGAGCTACAGATTAAAAATGCCCAAGGCGAAGCGGTCAAAGTCTGGCTGTACTTCACAGCAAAAGATGCAAACTCAGCAGCAACAAGTGCTTTAAGCTGATACTGTGATACTGTCAAAGGAGGTAACACCTCGAATCCGATGAAACACCTGGCGACGCATAGCGTTTTTTTTAAAAGCCGAGAAATGCAATTTGGACTTTAATTACAGTTTTTTACAGACGCTAGGACACATTTCTCAATACTTAGGTCACGTTTGCAAAACTCCTCACACAGTGAGCACAACAGAAGTCTATGTGGGCCAAACTGAGGACCAGTTATCATTGTTTTGGCACAAAATGCATTCAATGACTACATCTCTCAAATTTCATGAATTATCTTCTCACTCAGACACAACGAAAATGCCGTATTTGATAGCTTGCTGCGAGACCTCACACCGAGCACATCTACTGCGGGTGTGGTGCCTGTTATCGGACCCGGAGTTAGCAACATCCCCCAAGAACCTGAAGAGGAGAGTCCTGGCCCCTAGCCCTGCCAGTGTAGCAGAAATGATGAGGATGATGCAGCAGCAGCCGTTCTTCTCTGCGTGAGTAGCTTAATGTTCGAAAACTGGAAATAAATCACCAACTCTACAAAATTTCAAAGTCGAACAGGTTATAGTTGGTGCTATGGCACAGTTGCTAGCCGTTCTCTTCTTGCGTGAGTTCTTTAGCTTCTCGTTGTTCGCGTGTGGTAGTATTTTTATGTTGTGAAGTATTGGGCTAACCATCCGGTTTATTTGTCACTCATTAATGCATTGTATGTGGTTGAACTGGGCAAACTGATCATCCATAGCTTACGATGCGGCTGTCTGTCTTGTTTGTGACTAGCAGATACTCCCTTCCCACTCCTGGCCAAGACATAGGCTAAATGACCTTAAAGAAAATAGACGGGGAATACGCTGATTATCATGCGGGGGTGTTTATTGATAGGAGTTTTTCTTGTTGTGTTTCTTCCATTTCTGTCTGGTTACAGCAACCGGACCCCATTTATTTCAAAAGATTACCCGGTTTGAGCATCTTAAGGGAATCGGCTGTATAGAATGCTGCCTTAGGAAATCTCGCCTACCGAATCCATCCTAGTTAAATTTTTGATATTACTACTAAACTTGAGTCATTGTAGCTAGATGGATCAAACAGAGCTGGGTCAATACTATAACCTCTCTATCACAATGTGCAGACTACTTACTGAAATTCTCATGGATTTCTTCGAGCAAATAAAAATCTCATGAACTATTAGTAGTAATATAAATAGTACGCTGATATCCTATAGGTTGCGAAATTGTTTTGTTGGGTGAAAGTGTTTGTCCGGCCACTCAGATGACCATGAACTTTTATTACAGAGATCAGAGCATGCAGTAGGTATTAAAGTTTCTGCACCGCAGTGACTTCAGTGATATCTGTCTAACAGACTCCAATTTGTCTTCTTCACATTCTCAGGTTAATAATGGAGTTCCTCAGGGTTCCACGCTGGGACCAGTTCTGTTTATATTTTAAATGCTTCTTCAAGGTATCGTTACAAGGCATCGCATACTTCTTGGGTATGCAGATCAACCTAGCTCTTTGTAGCCAATTAAATTGCAGGAATGTCTTTAAGACAACACTGAGTCAGGAGTCAGAACAGACTCTACCTGCTGAGGAGACTGAGATCTTTTGGAGTGCAGGGGGAACTCCTGAAGACCTTTTTAGACTCTCTGGTGCTGTCGGCCATCTTCTATGTTGTTGTTTGTTGGAACAGCAGCTTATCTACAGCTGAGAGGAAGCGGGTGGATAAGCTCTGTCCCAGGATGTTCCTCGACCCAGTTCAGGTAGTAGGAGACAGAAGAACTCTTAGACAATGTCTCCCTCTCCATGCACGAAGCAGATTAACTGAAAAGCCTTCAGTTAATCCAAAATGCTGTATTTCTCCTGTATTGGCTTCCCTTCATTGGCTTCCTGTTAAATCCAGAATTGAATGTAAAAT